ATATCTTACCTATAAGAACTCTAAATAGTTTACTATAACTATTAAAGATAAAAAAGCCTTTAAGGCTCTAAAGCTCGCGTTCTATAGTAATATAGTTCTTACCTACTTTAACTCTAATCTTAAGTATATTCTTAAGACTAACGCGTTTAACTATATCTACGCTACTATACTCTTATAGGTCTAGGTTAATAGTACTATACACTTAGTAGCGTATCTATCTAAGAAGATAATACTTACTAAGTATAACTATAAAATCTATAATAAAAAGCTTTTAGCTATTATCTACGCCTTTAAAAAATAGTAACTAGAGCTTACTAGAGTTTCTACGTTAGTTAAAGTTCTTATAAATTACTATAAACTTAAGTACTTTTGTATAAAATAAATACTTAATTAGTAATAAGCCTATTAGGCTAAATTTCTTAAGAAGTTTAATTTTAACATTACCTACTATTCTAGAAAATAGAGAACTAAGTCTAATAGTCTTACCTACTAAATAGAAGATCTTTCTAATAAGATTACTAATAACTATGTTTAGCACTAGTGCTAAACTATTCTAGGTAACTACTACTAGAATAGTAGCAGTTATGCAGCTATGCAACTTACTAGTCTCTATCTAGATAATAACTTATATAATATTACTTCTATTCTTACTTTTATTTAGAAGATAGGTAAAGAAGCGTTACTATCTCTATTAACGCTTTATATTAGACTTACGCGCTTCTTACTTAAAGGCATGCTAGACTCTTATAATAATGTTATAAGTATAGATAATTAAGACCTTAAGAAAGTTATCTTTAAGATATATCTTAGTAACTCTTATCTATAGAATATATAGTTAGCCTTAGATATAAATAAGTAACGCATTCTTTATTATTTTATTACTAAGAGTATCTATATAAAGCTCGCTAATCTTAAAGCTAGTAATAATAGTAAGCTATTTATAAGCAATAGCTACTTTATTATTCTCTTTAGTAAACACCTCTATACGCGTATTATAGCACATGTATATAATAGCCTTCTAGATAGTTATAGTAGAAGAATAATAACTTACTAATAAGTAAGTTAATAGTACTACTAGTAAGGCATAACTAATACTATTACTTAGTTTACTAATAGCTATATAACTTGCTAATAGTTAAAGATAAATTACTTAGCTAAGTATAGACTACTCTATTCTCTATCTATCTTAATATACTATTAGAATAACATTTCTATTAACTTTATTACTTCTCTGCTTTAGTCTACCTAGTATAACTATATCTATTAATATATTATAGTTATAGTTAACTACTTATTTAAGATAAAGAAGTTTATTACTATAAAGAATCTAAAAGTCTCTATAGTAGTAGATAAGTTTATAGAGTATATATAGAAGCTTAAAAGCTACTCTAGAACTCTTATATTTAATTAGAGTTACTAGTTTATATTATACTTCTAGTCTAGACTATATATATAGATAGAGACTTACCTAAAGTTATCTACTATATACTATCTAGAGACTAATAGCTAAATAGAGAACGCTAAGAAGAGAGTTGTAAGCGCAATTATAGCAGCTACAAACAAAATAGAAAGTATAGAAGTAGTAAGTGTAATTTAGGTAGCTAGAATATAGTAGAGATTCTAAGTTAATTTAAGTTATATATATTATTAGAGCGTAGTAGCTAAAAGGCTAAAGATAGAGAAAAGGCTTAAAGAGTAAGAGCTAAGAGAGTAGTCTAGTTATAAGAGAGTAGTAGCAAAAAGCGCACAGCGCATTTATAAGAACTTTAATCTAAGAGAAGTATAAGAGAACGCTAATATAGACCTAAAGTAGTATCTACACTTCTATATTAACTATCTATAGACTAACTAGGCGTAGCTACTTTCTCTAGCTAAATTTAAAGCTAATTTAGTAATAAGTATAGCTATAGGCTTATCTCTATTTCTTGCTATAAAGAGCTAGTAGCTAAGATCTAGCCTTAAGCCTATATATAGCCTACCTCTACTTAATTCTTACTCTACTATTACGTAATAATAACGTAGCGCTAACGCTCTTACCTATTATATTAATAAGACGTAGACTTTTCTATAATAATAGATTTTATAGATATAGAATAAGATAAAGAAGTTTATAAATATAAATAAGTTACTAGCTCTAAGATTTAATATAAGTAACTAGATTATATTAAATATATACTATATTAAGACTAAGTAACTAGTAAAATTACTAGACTATAAGAATATAAGGCTATATTAGATTACTTATGTTATTAATAATATAGCTTATAAACTAGACTTACTCTCTTAGCTTAAAGCTATCTTCTCTACTTTCTATCTATAGCTTCTCTAGGCCTATAAAGATAATACTCTACCTAGGTAGCTTTACGCTAATAATACTACTCTTTCTAAAGTCTATCTTTCTAATAATAATAGCGTAGTAAAGTATATTATCTTCTAAGTTCTTAACTCTTATATATAGTAGAATATAGTTAACCTATATATAGGTAAGTAAGAGCTCTTATAATACAAAGTTAAGTAGGTAGATAATAACTAGTTAGAGCTCTAGTAGTTCTATAGTAATCTAAGAGAATATAAGAAATTAGTATAAAACTTTTATAATTATAATTCTAACTAACTAGAACTATATAATACCTTCTATAACTATAATAATAATAGAGAGCTTACTATTACTCTACTCTAGCTATTAGACTTTAAGTACTTAAAAAGAACTAGCTAGTTATTTAAAGACTTGCCTAGCTATAATACTTATAAAGCCTACTAGATTAATTATAATATACGTCTTTACCTAACTTTAGCCTTTATAGCTATTAGTAGCTATAAGGTAGTTTACTACTACTTTACTTACTACCTATTAGCCTTAGCTAGAAGAATATTCTCTATAGTACTCTAGTAGGCGCATAGATCTATATATAATATAATAGATATAATAGAGGTTACTAATAACGCTACTAGCGTGCGTTAAGAATAGAAACTTTTGTCTTTCTTTAGGCTGTCTCTATTAAGAGGCGCTCTTACTTTATACCTTACTATTACTACTTAGTTAGAACTTTAAGCGCTTTTAAAGAAGAATGTATAATAGTTCTAGACCTTACGCTCTACTAGGCTAATATTAGCCTAATACCTCTACTATATATATTTACCTCTAATAGCTTCTCTCTAAAGCTCTCTACTATAATAATATTATTATTTTATATACCTCTATTATTAACGTATATAAGACTTTTATAGTAATAATAAAATATAAAAGCTTTAGGTAGTAACTATATATATTAAATAAGTTTATAATAGTAATATTTTACTTTACTATTAAAGTTAAGTAGTATTACTATAGTAGTAGTAATATTATTATACTAAAGCACTATATTCTAGATTAGAAGTAGTATTAGTAGAGCTATCTTAGTACTATTTAGACTAAACTACGCTATACTTTTTACTTTCTTCTAGTATAGTACTATAATATTTATACTACTAAAACTTTATAACTATAATATATACTAAAGCTTATAAATAAAAAAAAGATAAAGTAAGTAATACTTTATATTTTAGTAACATTTTACTAATATAGATATATAGTATAAGAAAGTATACTATCTTAAAGATAGTAAGTTTAGTAAAATTCTAGCTATAGTATATTAATTTAGAAACTTAGCTTCTAGATACTTTTTTAAGAGGTTACCTTATTACGTATAAGGGCTGCTAATCTCTATTAGAAGCGACTAGTGCGCGCTAGACTAAATGCTTTGCAACCTAGCCTATGCTCACACTCAACTCCAACAGTCAAACCCTATGTCGTGTCAGCAACAATACCCGGTACGCATCCGTCGAAGCCATCTCAAAAGAGGTCCCCTAGCTGTCAACGCGGCCGCCATGCTGTTAACCCGCTAAGGGGCCATACTTCATGCACATCTAGAAGTATAGTCGGCCCAGATAGTGTCCGACACATGACAATTGACAGCAGCTAGCGTAAAAGCCTCCAAGCCTCCAAGGGAGATTCGGACCGATCTCTATCAGCCAACCTGCTGAGGTGTACCCTTACATGTGCGCTCTCTTAGAAGGAGTCACTGTAAGTATCCCTTTAGGCAATGCGAAGACCCGGCACCCTGCGCAGCGTTCACCTTTCACTTTGTTGCATTTCACAAGTGTGCCCTTTACACATGTATACAATACAATCTGCCGCGACCTTCCACACACTGTTTCCAGAACTCGATCAAGTCGTCTCAATTTTCATGAACTGCGGTGTGAACGCACTCTTTGGTGTTTGCTTCTATGTACCCGCTACATGATCTGCGAGTCCTGTCTACACAGCATGGCGGTCTCATAGAACGAGTCAGTAAACATCAAGATGATATCATCCAGTCTGTGTATTCCGGTTCAGCGTGGCCCGATCCACTAGTGAACCACACTTTGGCACAACGGCTATCTCACGATCGATGATTACCATGTGGTGTATTCGCCTGACTCATTCATTGTTTTGGGAAGTAGCTGTGTACATTCTCGAATATTATCTGAACTGAGGTGCTGAACGATCTTTGTTCTGTCCCCTCATATAGAGTTCCCAGGTACCATGGTTTACCCCCCAGCCGAGCTTATAGTTGGCTAGGAGCTATCACAGTGGGTCTGCGGCATCATAGCGACCAGAATTGCAGTGCCCCTCAGGAACATGTAGATTGGTCCAGCCCGCGTTTGCATGTGCCCACCAAGGAATGCGGCTGATGACTTCGGACACTTACTCCAGAAGACAATCGCCTTGCTGTTCTACAAACGCCGAAAGCGCTCGTTTTGATTTCCACTCAACGATCCCATCATTTTTTCACCAAATGCACGATCAATCTCCAAGTTGGTTCGTCCTGAGATCGAAAGCAACAGCGGATATACGATATGAGACTTTGATTCCTACTGTGATCTTCACTGCGATCGCCTCACTTGTGGTGGGTTTGCGATGGTGCAGCCGAGTAACATCAACTACAGTTATGCCGGAAGACTACATCGTCACTGCAGCCATGGTAACCAGCACGAGTAATCTGGGCAGTATTCAAAGCAACATTCTGATTCTCGCAGGTATCCTCCATCGGATTCGCGGCCGTAGTTGCTGGACGCAAGACACCCAATTGGACATTGCATGAGGAAGGAAAAGCTGACTGCAATACAGAGTTCAGCATCGACGGAGAGGATCTGAAGCAAGGAGGCCTTGAATCACCCTCGCTTGCTGCTATGCTGAAGGTGCGTGATATCCATTAGGCTTCGCACACTGTTGACTGTTTGTAGCTTGTTCTCGCTCAGACTATCCTCTACCACCTGGCAAGCAACCTTGTCAAAGCCTCATTTCTGGTACAATATCTTCGCCTCTTCCTAGTCATCCCTCAGATCGTCTGGATATGTAACGTGCTTCTTATCCTGGTCTTCGGTGCCACGGCTTGGGGCATCTTCGGTAACATCTTTCTCTGCGAGCCTGTGCAGAGTTACTGGAATGTCACGCTATCAGGAAAATGCATGAACAAAGAAAACCACTTCTGGTCAACGAGCATCATCGGTCTCGTACTCGACTTCTCCATTTGGGTTCTGCCTATTCCCGTAATTGGGAAGCTGAATTTGCCCAGTCGGCAGAAGCTTGGACTAGTCGCAGTCTTTGGGCTTGGTGGATTGTGCGTCCTTCCATTCCCTGTGATAGAAAGCTATCTGCTGACTTCGATTCTAGCGTCTGTATCATAACACTGCTACGATTGGTGCTGGTACATGACGCAGCGAATGACGGTGAAGTCACAAGTATGGCCTCGCTAGATCCGATATCAAGTGTACGCTGACACGACTGCAGAGGCGGGTACCTACGCTATAATCTTCTCGACTATCGAGGTTAACGTCGCCATCATCTGCGGATCGCTGCTTGTCATGAAGCCTCTGATTGCACGCCTCCTGCCAGGTATCATGCCCGAGCAACCAATGACCGCGGCGGAAGACGAACGGACATGCAGAACCTTGACCGGATTGCATCTACTCAGTGGAGGCACGGAGGGTGACGTGGAGAAGGCGCAAAGGGGCGGGAGGCGCGACACCTTGATTGAGTCGGATGCGTTCGCTACGACCAAAGAGATGAAGAGGCTCATGAAGGGGCTGGGGAACAGCAAGCGAAACACTACGTAGCTTACCGAAGACGGGATGTAGCTTCTGCTATGACGTATGTCAACGTCTACGGTTTATGTGTCGCCCTGCTACCATTGTGATGTTTCGCTCAACAGAAAGCCTGCCATGTGTTCCGAACAGAGGTCTTCAACTACATGACGGCTGTTGTCCTTGTCCACGAATATCTGGGGAGCTCGCAGGCAGATGACAAGGAATGCCCCCACCAGACGTTAGCGCGGCAGCTTAGCTTGTCGACCGTGCTCAACCTCAACCTGCATCCAACATCGTTGATCGATTGAATGCAACTCGGTCTGCGTCCTCGTTTGCGAACACGGCCATCTTTATACGACCTAGTCCAAAAGAAGAACATTGACCAGATCTCGATATCTGGAGCTCATACCGCCGCCGGCTACGACGACGTTGAGCCACACCGAGTGCCGCTTCCCGCGAGCCCGCTGATATCACCACAAGGCGAGCTTCCCACCCAGCCGCCACCGCCGCACATCACCCTACAAGAAGCCAGCGACGACGAGAAGGAGAGACCAGCACCCAAGATGCCTCCCGTAAGCACTACAAGTTACAGGGACGGGTTTGGGGCAGGCAGCTAATTCACGCGCGCAGAAAGGACAGAAGAAGCAGGAGCAGAAGTCGGAGGGCGAGGAGCATGGTAAGCTTGAACACTCTGCACTTAAACGTAGAGAACAATAGGACATGTCGCTAATTCCATACAGGCGCCATCTACTCCATTTCCGGGTACGTCACCGCATCGCAGCGCAGCGCTCGAGTCGCATACTGATCCGTCCAGTCCTGTCATCATCGCCGAGAACATGATCGGATGTGCCATGTACGAGCTTGTACGTGGAACGGCTCTACTAGGATGGACGACTGCTGACTGCCCTAGGTCCGTGTTGGTCACGACAACCTCGTCGGTGAGGTCATTCGAATCGAGGCCGACAAGGCCACCATCCAGGTCTACGAAGAGACTGGTAGGCACACCGCGCAAGGAAACACGTTGGAGGACTGGGCTAACATCGCACAGCTGGTGTAACCGTAGGCGACCCCGTATACAGGACCGGGCAGCCATTGTCCGTCGAGCTGGGTCCTGGTCTTATGGAGACCATCTACGACGGTATCCAGCGTCCCCTCAAGGGCATCGCCGACGACGCCAACAGCATCTACATTCCCCGTGGTATCAACTTGCCCGCTCTTGACCGCAAGAAGAAGTGGGATTTCACACCCGGTTCCCTCAAGGTCGGCGACCACATCACTGGTGGCGACGTCTTCGGTACTGTCTTCGAGAACAGTCTGCTCAGCGAACATAGGGTTCTGCTGCCTCCCCGTGCCAAGGGTACCATTACCCGCATCGCCGAGAAGGGCAGCTACACCGTCGACGAGAAGATCTTGGAGCTCGATTTCAATGGCACCAAGACCGAGTACAGCATGATGCACAAGTGGCCCGTACGGGTACCTCGTCCTTCCAACGAGAAGATGTCATCCGACCAGCCGCTCATCGTCGGCCAACGTGTCCTCGACTCTCTGTTCCCCAGTGTTCAGGGTGGTACCGTGTGCATTCCCGGTGCTTTCGGATGCGGCAAGACTGTCATTTCCCAGTCTTTGTCCAAGTTCTCCAACAGTGACATTATTGTCTACGTGGGTTGCGGTGAGCGAGGAAACGAGATGGCTGAAGTCTTGATGGACTTCCCAGAGGTATGGAAATTGGATTATGGTGTGTACGACATGCTGACTTGCTCTAGCTCACTATCGACGTCAACGGCAAGAAAGAGCCCATCATGAAGCGAACCACCCTCATTGCCAACACCTCCAACATGCCTGTGGCTGCTCGTGAAGCCTCCATCTACACTGGTATCACCGTTGCCGAGGTAAGTTCCGACTGCTTGGAATACACGTGAGACGTGTACTGACTCGTTTACCCCTGCAGTATTTCCGCGACCAGGGCAAAGACGTGGCCATGATGGCTGACTCCTCGTCACGATGGGCTGAGGCTCTTCGTGAGATTTCCGGACGTCTCGGAGAGATGCCTGCTGACCAAGGTTTCCCTGCTTACCTCGGTGCCAAACTTGCGTCTTTCTACGAGCGTGCTGGCCGTGTTCAGGCTCTGGGTAGCCCCGAACGATTTGGCAGTGTGTCGATTGTCGGTGCTGTCAGTCCTCCAGGAGGTGACTTTTCGGATCCCGTCACCACGAGCACACTCAACATTGTGCAAGTCTTCTGGGGTCTCGACAAGAAGCTTGCTCAGCGAAAGCATTTCCCATCTGTCAACACATCGATTAGTTACAGCAAGTACACAACCCCGCTCGACAAGTACTACGCCAAGAACAACCCGGAATTCCCCCGTCTCCGCGACCGCATCAAGGAGCTTCTCACTACGTCAGACGATCTCGACCAGGTCGTGCAGCTTGTCGGTAAATCCGCGCTGGGTGATAGTGACAAAATTACGCTCGATGTGGCTACGCTACTCAAGGAGGACTTTTTGCAGCAGAACGGCTACTCGGACTATGACCAGTTCTGTCCGCTATGGAAGACCGAGTGGATGATGAAGAACATGATGGCCTTCCACGATGAGGCCCAGAAGGCCGTCTCCCAAGGACATGCATGGCCCAAGGTTCGCGACGCGACCTCGGAAATCCAGAGCCAGCTCCGTTCAATGAAGTTCGAGCTGCCCAGCGACGGAGAGGAGAAGGTCACCAAGAAGGTAAGCCTGGCAGGACGTGACGCTTTGATTTGTACATACGCTGACTTCGAAACAGTACGAGGAGCTCCTGCAGAAGATGACCGACAAGTTTGCATCGGTTGTCGACGAGTAAATGCATGTGGTTGAAGGCGATTTCTCCGTAGCGTGTCTGTCTAGTATATCTCCAAGATCGTAGAATGTGAATTGTACCAAGATACCAATACTGCTGCCTGAACCCGCTGACGACGCCGTGTCGCGTCCTGTGACCGCAATGCGCATCATGTGCGCCAGGAACGACATCGTGGTAGTCAAAATATCGAAGTGGCTCTAGATCACTACTAGCGGAACACAGGAGCAGTTGAGCACATCTCTGATTTGATACATGTGACAGCTTGGTGACGTACGCAGCCCATGGATATCCCCAAGTCGCGCGGATATTTCGTGGGGCTGAGTCGTGTGGCGTATCGAAGCTTGGGCTCTCTCCGACGTTGGCACCTGCAGCAGCTACGCAACCCGCAAGCAACAACCCCAGATCTCAGACACTCTCGCCTTCAGCGCCCTTGATACCACCAACACCCAAACCCGCTTCTACACACGAATACTGAAGGCATCCGCACCACTTCGACCCACACTTCGCCGACCATGGCGACAAACCCAAATGCGTACGCACATGTTTCGAGCGCCCCTCGCATTGCGGAAGGCTAACATGGTTATACAGCATCAACGTGAACGACCCGGGGCTGATTACTCTCGTAAACAAGCTCCAGGATGTCTTCACCACAGTCGGAGTACGTCGCTGCCCTTCGCCCGCCCGCGCGCAACTGGCTACACCAACAGCCCAAAGACGCATACTGATGCCTAAGTCAGGTCCAAAACCCCATAGACTTGCCCCAGATTGCCGTCGTAGGATCGCAGTCTAGTGGAAAGAGTTCGGTGCTCGAGAACATTGTTGGACGAGACTTGTGAGTGCCTCTTTATTGCGCCATGGCCTGAGAGATATAGGTTAACGATAGCCCTCCAGCCTGCCCCGAGGAACCGGTATCGTTACCCGAAGACCGCTCATTCTCCAACTCATCAATCGCGCATCCTCGCAAGCCAACGGCACCACCGAGGGCGCAAAGACAACAGACCAGGAGAACAATGTCGACGAGTGGGGCGAGTTCCTGCACATTCCTGGCCAGAAGTTTCACGACTTTGGCAAGATAAGGGACGAGATTGTGAGGGAGACGGAATCCAAGACGGGTCGCAATGCGGGTATCTCACCGGCGCCCATCAACTTGAGGATATACTCGCCAAACGTCCTCACACTGACGCTGGTCGACTTGCCAGGTCTAACGAAGGTGCCTGTTGGAGACCAACCGAGGGATATTGAGCGCCAGATCCGAGAGATGGTCCTCAAGCAAATCAGCAAGCCCAACGCAATCATTCTGGCTGTCACTGCTGCCAACACCGATTTGGCCAACTCGGATGGTCTCAAGCTAGCGCGTGAGGTGGACCCAGAAGGACAACGGACAATCGGTGTCTTGACCAAGGTCGACTTGATGGACGAGGGCACCGACGTCGTGGACATTCTTGCTGGCCGCATCATTCCACTGCGGTTGGGCTACGTACCAGTCGTCAACCGAGGACAGAGGGATATCGAGAACAAGAAGGCCATCTCGTACGCGCTCGAGCACGAAAGGCAATACTTTGAGAACCACAAGGCATATCGCAACAAGGCAGCGTACTGTGGTACACCCTACCTTGCGCGCAAGCTGAACTTGGTAGGCTCAGTCTCTTCTGTACACCTCGGCACAGCAACTAACAGTTACAGATCCTTATGATGCACATCAAGCAAACGCTCCCCGATATCAAAGCCCGCATCGCCTCCTCACTACAAAAGTACCAAGCAGAACTTGCTTCGCTAGGCAACTCCATGCTCGGCAACAGCTCCAACATTGTCTTGAACATGATCACCGAGTTCACCAACGAATACAGAGGAGTCTTGGAGGGCAACAACCAAGAGCTTTCTGCAGTAGAGCTGTCTGGCGGTGCTCGTATCTCTTTCGTCTACCACGAATTATACGCCAACGGTGTCAAGGCCGTCGATCCTTTCGACCAGGTCAAAGACATGGACATCAGGACGGTTCTCTACAACTCCTCCGGCTCGTCGCCAGCGCTGTTCGTCGGCACCACTGCTTTTGAGCTCATTGTCAAACAACAAATCAAGCGATTGGAGGAACCCAGCTTGAAGTGTGTCAGCCTTGTCTACGACGAGTTGATTCGAATTCTTAGCCAGCTCCTCAACAAGAACGCTTTCCGAAGATACCCAGGCTTGAAGGAGAAGCTA